ATTAGCATCAAGCAAAAACTCGTTAAAGATATAAGTGAGCTCCATCCCATGCTAAAAAATGTCAACAATCAGTGAAAATGCCAGCTACACATCTTAGAATATACCAATTTGACAACCAGGCGTTGAGAGTTAGCATAACAAATATGACGGAGCTGTCATATCTGGACTTGCATAAACTTGTACTGTCGAGAATCTTATTAAAATTGATACAGCTCATTTTTGTGTAAAATGCTCACCACAACTTTATTTCATTTTTCCCATCATTCTCGGCGTATACTCATTCAGCACAGTTTTCTTTTTGCATGATATTAAATATACTTAACTTGGGCTTGCTTTCCACCTACTTTATCGCCCCTTTTTCTCCCAACTCTGAATTCAGGACACTGAGCAAGGCCCTTACGCAATAATCCTTGCTCCCACTCGTGAGCTGGCTCAGCAAATCGAGGAAGAGACACAAAAGTTTGGCCGACCTCTTGGTATCAAAACAGTCTCCGTAATCGGTGGTCTTTCACGCGAGGATCAAGCTTTAAAGCTGCGTATGGGCGCTGAGATTGTGATTGGTACACCAGGCCGACTTGTAGATGTCCTTGAGAATCGTTATATTGTCCTTAATCAATGCACTTACGTCGTACTTGATGAAGTGAGCTCTACTTTGTTATATTTATTCACTAGTGTTTCTTATTCTTTTGAGCTATTTTTAATAAATAGCAGTCGCACTGACTAAAAATTTGAAAACCGCTGTTAATTTTTATATTGGCCAAAATAATTTTTATTACAAACCTTCATTTACCTTTTAAAAGTTTTGACTTAAGTATAAATTGCCTTGCATTATATATTGCATTTAATTTGAAAGGGCTAACGTAAGGATTCGTAAATTGGTCCCACCGTAAGTATAAGATTGATTGTCTTAGAGATATGACCTTAGATTTGCGTGGTGTCCTGCTCTGATGATGTCTATCATATAGTAGACTAAAACTCAGCTAGTATTCTTTGGAGTCATTGGAGAGTGAATCGAGGACATATTCGAACAATTTAACACTTATAACTCAGAGGCAATCCTTTCTTTGACTTCCGGTAATGCCAACTTACGAATCCCTTCAACTTGCCTCTTCAAACGAATTGAAATGTGCTCCACATCTATCTATCAATGAATTCTTTTAAAACCAGTTTTTTACATACCGTAGTTGTTAACATTTGTCGGCGTCATGTTTATGAAAAGTCAGCTTAATTAGTGCTTTATAGATATTTTCAGTCTATCTTTCAAGCTTATTCGGGGTACCAAAATTTTGCTTTTAAACTGCATGTTCAGTATATTCTAAAATGAATACATTGGAGGCTGAGAATTACGAAACCAGATTTTTGACCTTTTAGGGCAACAGGAATAGAAAATTTTCCAACCCTAGCATTATTAGAGCTTTCTTTTTCTAATGATCCTTACTAGCATAAAATATTACTAAGATTCTGAATACCAAAATATATCGTTTCTATATGAAAGTTCACTTGATGACCGATGATATTTAAGTTTAGCCCTTCCAAACTAAAGGTCGAGCTGCTCTTGATAGCTGGAAAATGCTTTAATTTTCCATTGGTTCTCGCCTTCGAGACCGATTAGATGGACCACTCAGGATAGGTCAAGGTAGAGGCTTCACGCTTATGATTTATTAAATAGTAGATTTGTCGGTTCTAATGGCAGGGCACGTGTTTTATTAGGTATTAAATGTGTTTTGGGATTCACTTATGGGTTTTACCGCGAAGTGCCAACGTTTTATCAACACACCTAGATAAGTTTCACATCTTATTAGAAAAGATTTGACTTATTTGTGGTTAAAGCTTCATTCCATCCTGAATACGGATATTTTTTCATAAAGTGGTTTAACTAATTATTCGTGGCCAGCTGAAATATGGGCTTTTATTATGTCTTATTTGATTCACTTTTTAAACTATTTTAACCTTGATAGAAACTTAGTAGCCCTTTTAGATGTAACCTTTTATTACTAGCGAAATTTTTATAAATGCTTATCTTTATATGATTTCAATTTCATATATTTCCTGCCTTTTATCACATTCGCTTATTTCTTGGGTGAAATTGCTTCAGTTGTTCTTCACTGACAGCATTTGCTAAATTTTCACTACTTACCTAAACCTTTCGCGACCGGATACTATGGTTAATACTTGCGAGTTATTTACATCAGTTTTATCAAAGCTTTTAATTATATTAATTGAAAGCATTGCAAACCTTATTTTATTGTTTGTGAGATTATACTTTGATTTTAATAATTGTGTACATCTAAATTCTTCTTTATTTCTAAGCTTCACGTTTTTTAATTATTTTACTCCCAGGCAGACAAAATGATTGATATGGGTTTCGAACCTGCAGTAAATAGCATTCTTGACTACTTACCGGTGAGCAATCAGAAGCCGGATACCGATGAGGCCGAGGACAACAGACAGCTACTGTCTAACTTTGCCACAAAGCGCAAATATCGCCAAACTGTCATGTTCACAGCCACTATGCCAACAGCTGTGGAGCGCCTGGCGCGCACTTACCTGCGCCGACCCGCTATTGTTCACATAGGTAGTGTTGGTAAGCCCACGGATCGTGTGGAGCAAATCGTGTACATGACTACGGAGCAAGAGAAAAGGTGAGGTTTAAACAGTTAGCTATTTGTTTACATCATCTTATTTGTAAAAGCTCCTGTAAGGAAAAAAGGGAACTATTCTTTCTGAAAATTTATGCATTGACCTTCATTTCAAGGAATACAGCTTTCTTTCAATCGCCTTATCAGAAAAACTATCATATATACCCTACTCTTTGTATGTAGACCTTCCGGTAATACATGTTAAGCTTGGTTTTATGGATTCTTAACTAATCATATTTACGAAAAATACCCTCATATAGTCGCATTATTATGTCAAAAGTCCCCATTTATGCATATATTTTATTGAGTATATCTTAGAATTTGGGCCCAAATTCGTTTTCCCGTTACTGTTATCGCAATAGGTATAGACTTGCCTTTATCTCTTCTCTTTTGATCACAGGAATTCGAATAACAAATTATCTTTCTCTTTTGTGTATCTGCATTACATTAGTTGCATCAAGCTCTCTGGGAGTTTTAACTAATTAGCGTTTCATGTGGCTAACTTATTATACAACCCATTTACTCCACTTTCTTTTCCCAACTCTTTTTTTTATTAATCGCTTTTTCAGGAAAAAATTACTCTCCCTTCTTGAGCGTGGGTTTGAGCCACCAATTCTCATCTTCGTCAATCAAAAGAAGGGAGCTGATGTTTTGGCTAAAGGTCTGGACAGATTGGGCTACAGCACTGTAGGTCTACATGGTGGGAAATCCCAGGAGCAACGGGAATACGCTCTGTCCAGTCTCAAGTCAGGACAGAAAGAGGT